AATAAAACCTGTCTTCCAATTCATTGCATTGTGTTTGTGTGTGTGTGTGTGTGTGTGTGTGTGTGTGTGTGTGTGTCTGGGTGAATCTATAGATACACCTCAGCCTTTGCAAAAAAAGATTTAGATTTTATTTATTTATTTTTTGTATATGTTCTCTCCATAAAAACACATCATGCAAGCTTAATCTGAAACGAGAGCCAACACCTATATCCTTTTATTGAACCTTAAAATCATGTTAGCTGTTTGAGTTTGTGCCTCATAATGTACAAGTAGCTTCATGGCTTTTAATTAAAATTTGTCCACATAAATCTACATGTATATGTGCACACATCTCGTGGTTGGCTTGCAACGTTGACAAAATTTCAATATTTTTTCTAGAACAATCTTTTTTCCCCTTCCGTGTCTAGCACACTAGCACACACTGAGACATGTGCATCCTGTGTTATACCCTTCTTGAGACTTATCACAATTTCTCTTTCTTCTTCTGGCTCATCTATTTAGTTACAAAATAGATTTTGTCAGAGTTATTGATGTATAATGCATTGGCGCCAGTGAGCTTATTTTCACTTTAATAATACTGGAAACTTTTTTTTAATATTAAGTGATTTTGCAAAGATCTGTGACAGAATGAAAGCAGTATGGAGATGATCAAACAGCCGCTTGTTTCAGGTCACGTCTCTTCTGTCTATCTGTCATAGTCACACCAGAGAGGGTTAGGGAATGAGAGAGCACAATGACTAGAGGGAATTTCTCCAAAACAACGCCAAATCACTCAGTTTTCCTGCTCCTCCCCATGTACCACGGAGATGTGTCAGAATCCAGTGTCTGTCACAGTATCCCTAGGCAGCCTCTAGATCCAACAACGAACTGGCGCCTCTTGTCTTGTCACCTGTTATCTTTACCATGTCTTGGAGTTCTGCGATGGATCACTCACAGCTTTGTTAAAGAAATGTAGAGTGTGAGTTTTACAACACGGAACGTGCTATGGCATCTATTCAGCTCTATTAAAACCCATAATAACTGGAAACATGTTTAAGTAGGAATAAATCACTCAAAATCATTCTTTTTTTTAAAAAAAAATTGTATAAATAATCTTGCAAAAATGATGGTTTAGAGCATGCGGTTTTAGTTAAAAACTGGACATGCACCAGCTGCTTACAAAGAATGACAGATGACACCCACACAAAGCAACAGTGTTCATGAAATTATGTTCATGTGCGACTAATTTACAGCACTGCTTACACATTACATATTCAGTGCCAATGCAGTAAGTAGTGCGATATTCAGAAGGAAATGGAAAAGTGTGGAGAAGAGGTAAGTACATGATGCATTTATACAGACAAACGGAAAACTGAACTGTGTGTTCAACATGCACCATGCCTCACTCCGATCACGTAATACACCGAACACATCCTCCCAATTTGGTGACCTATTTTCGGCTGCAAAATTGCCTATCCCTCCCTCAACACCAGCACATGTCAGTACTGGTGTTGCCCTGTGCTGCTGCCTGCTGTTTCAACATTCACACGTAGGCTCTGGGGGGATATTTACTCGTCACTCCCGACTTTCTAAAGTGATGAGCTCAGATTCTGCCAATTTATATCAATCTGCCACCATAATGAATCAGTTCAATTTTGAGATGTTGGAATTCAGTCAAGTTTAGGTAAAAATCCATATATAATATAAAAACATTCATAGTGAAGATTTTGCAGGCATATGTCGAACTGTTGTGTTGTTTGATATTTAATCTAAAAGTTTGAATCCATGTGGTTTGTATTTTTTATAAATTAAAACTGTAAAAAACAAATTTATAACTTATGGTTGTTTTATTTTTAACCACTAGAACTTTAATTTTCCAGTGTTTATTGTTAAATCACAGTTTAACAAAAACAGAAAAGTTGAATTTACAAGTTAGTTATCAAAAGAGTTTGCAGAAGTTGTTGCCTCGTCGTTTTGTAGAGGTAAAAAAACAAAATTAAAAAAGCCTGGGTGCTGTCAAAGTTTCCTGCAGGGAAGGAGACATCTTCGCATAAGGGGTTTGTCCATGACTCCTTCGTGCTGCTTCCTCTTTTGGCATCCTGTCTGACAGGCAGATTACATTTGCTGCACAAAATCGTTGTAGGTACAAGCATACAGTATGTACTTTGGATTAATAGGGAGTGATATATATGTGTAAAGAGCAGTGTACTCCCTAAACCCCGAAAAGTCCTGTGGTGAGTGCATGGTGCTCAAGGTAAGGATTAGCAGAAAGCTTGTGGCAACATAACATCTCCTACAGGTGTGCTCTAGGTGGATTTTGCAGGTTTGTGACATTTAAGTATTATTAAATGCTCATTTAGAGAGTATTATTTCAATAATCATTAAATAATACAGTATCAAACAATTATATGTTAAAAACGTGTTTCAAACGTGTTTTTTTTTTTTTCTTTCTCTCAACATGTCCATGCCTTGCATGCATCTGAGGCTCTCTGGCAGACTGTCAGCATTTGTTTTCAGAGTTTTACACAATGTCACATTCCTAAAGTTGTCATATTGAGTCCACTGAGGTACACAGTAAAAACCCACAGGCATACCAGTGAGCATAGACAAACCACAAATATCCAGTGTGAGATATGACACAGCCCCAAAGTCAGGAAATAAAATGTCTACAGAGAGATATGATTGTTTCTTTCTTTGCTGCTTTGTCTGTCTTTTTCCATTCTTTCTTGCTTACTTGTTTTCTTTTTCCCACCTCCTGCTTTCAGTGTTCGTGCAGATTTCCCTGCTGTCGGCTCTCGTCACATTCCCCAATCTGTTAGCCTTCTGATACCGGGGCCAGACTTGAAAGGAAGTCTTAAGGACGAGAGCTTATACACTGTGCCAGATTTTGTTAAATAACTACGAGATGTTGGTGCCAATTCATCAGTAATTGTCCCTTCTGGCACAGTCTGTTGAAAGTCCTGAAGAAGCCTAAGCTCAAGATCACTGCAAGTGTTAATCTTCTTATACTTAAGGTATCAGGTTTTCTTTTGATGTCGCTAAACATGTTGACTCCTATCTCAGCGCAGAAGGCAATCCAGACATAGCTATGAGCAAGATGGGGGTTTGTCTGCTGCTTTCTTCCAAGAATCTCATGGTTTGTGTGTTCCTCTCTGAGTATTCATTATGGCGCTAAAATAAAGCGGTAACAAAATGAGAAGAGAAAAAAATGAAATGTGAAGAAAGGGATTGATTCTATGCTAATTGTACTTTCCTTACCACAATTTGGCTCGCTCTTGTTCAGTATAAAATAGGCTTATTTATTTTTAATGAGGCAAAAACCTATTTCTCAGGCATAGTCACCATAATAGCCTAGGGTTATTTCCGAGACCTGCTTTATCAGTGGGCTTCTTTCAAGATCAACAGAAAAGACACTTGTCTCAAATTATAAATGATTTAGTGTCTAATTAATTTCCCTTAACCCCAGGTGTGCTGTATACATTTTCGGTTGGTATGATGAAGTTGGCAGTCACATGCATACACATAGCTGTGGTGATGACCACACAGATTCTAGGGGAATCTGCCCCAGGGAACCAGGTGGACAAGTCTAGGAAAGGTGCACCTTCTCGGGGCCTATAGTTTTTGGCACGCTGGGCCCCCCGTAGGGACTCAGGTGAGCCTCGGTGATCAATCACTGATGCTTTTTGTCAGATGAAATTCTCCCATCAGTCAGTCAGGCAGGGCCTCAGGTGGTAGGTGATAGTGCAGACACTGTGGGATCAGGGCGAGCTCCCACATGTACAACTACACTGATCCCACACACAGGTGGAGATTTGTCATGGGCTGGTAAGAGCTCATCTGTGATTGAATACGGCGCTTGAATGTGACCCACGCACACACATGTGTAAATGAAGTCCATGTGAACTTGGGTGTATGTTTGTATGCATTTCAAAATCTGTGACAGCATTCCCACATGGGCTGTTTCTACATTTACCTTTTCGTGTTACTTTGTAACTTCAGCGCACAAATGCGCATGCACTGTATATAACGCTTATGACTTGTTCATAAAAATTCACACCCAGACACAAGCTGCTGTCTTTTTTTCCCCTCGTACTGCAATCAAAAGCAAATGTATGTCTGCCTGAAGGGACTCTTTAAACATGCGTCCTGGAAGATTTATGGCGGAGTTTAGAACTTAATTGTGTTGGTTTGTTATTGGAAAAAGACAGGTGGGGACTGAGCTGAGACCTGTTTTATCAATTTGGCTGTGTGTCTTTCAGTGTATCTTAAGGTATTGGCATAATATAACCCGTGTTTTACTGTAATTCCACTTTTGATTTAGAGGTGTCTGTTTCTGGCAGGGTCTGTGGTGAATGCTCCCTCTACAACCACGAGCTGTGGAGAAAGTGGCTGGAGGTGATTGGGTGTTACCTTGTGTGAATCCTGTGTCAGAGACGAGTCATCAAGAACGGTCAACAAGTTCATCAAGTAAAGAAGAACGGTGAAGGGTGAGTCCTCTTTTATCACGTGGATCCAGTGCATAGAGCCATGTAATGAAAGATCAAATCTAACATATATTCTGTCCACTTTGCTAAAGTACTCTAAGACTATTTACTTTTGGTACCAGTGTCAGTTTACGGTTACTAAATCGTTGTTTTCAAACTTTTGGTGTTTAGTCCAGACACACGTATGAAGGTCCTGCTACCAAAAGCCAGTCTAGGCCAACTGAGCTGGACAAAACCCATTACAGAGCTCAAATGACGCTTGCTGGGTAGACTGGCATCAGTCAAACCCACAGGCTGCCCTGGGGTCACAGCAAAGCTGGCACTTAGAGTTTTAACACACAGACTGCACACACATTATCCAGCTAATGATGGAATTACAGCACTGACTCACCATGTAGCTACATGTAAGCGATGGGAGGACAGCAATAGATTATCGTCTGAGAAAAGAGGCACTTTCCCAGGAAAAGCAGCTGTCATGGAGAAAGAGAGAGGGAAAGAGTAAGAAAGGTGGAGATGGACATAAACTCCCGAGAATGGAGGTTTAGATGATTGTAATTATGGCTCTCTATAAAACACTCAATACTGTCATTAACATTGAGTCATATGTCCATGCAACAGAAAGGGGTGTTTAAAGGGATGTGTCATCAGTGTCTGAGGTTGGGATCGGTAGGAAAGGTTTATACTGGAAGGGGATAAGATATACGGACTGTCCTTTAAAATTGGCAAAGTCAATAAACAAGTATAACACATCCAAGAGGATGTAATGGATTACAGTAACTGTGTATTTGTGTGTGGTATTTGTGTGTGTGTGTGTGTGTGTGTGTGGGAGTACAGATATGTGCATGGTTCCATCTGCTAGTGAATGCTTATGCAATTATGGATCTTTATTAACTTTATTAAATATTGTAGGGTTTTAATGTTAATTCGAATATGCACTCATGCAGTTGGTGTATGAGTGTGTAGAGATCCTGAGGTGTCTGCCTTAATACGAAGAAACTATAAGGACGACTATAGGCTGTTGCGGTGACTCTGTATAAACTCAATGGTCGCCCTGTTTTCTTACTCTGGTTTCTGAGCAAATGTTTGAAAAAGTTCATATTTTTAATGGCAAATCTGACAAAACCATAAATTCACAGTGCGCTGTATTTTTATCCTTTTCACATAATGAAAGTTCCAGAGGACAAAACAGTCCCAGCGAGGGTGGGGTGAATTGCGAGAAAGCAATGTAGGGGTTGGAGGGCGGGGGTAGATTGTGGTTTTGAGGACATAAGAGGAAGGCGCAACTGCACTGGACATGTAGCCATTTGGGAAAAGCAGCTCCAAGAAGTGCTTCTCAGCCTTTACGGCCTGCTCAAAAAAAATTGAGCCTTTGAGCAAACAGTGTGCAGGATCTCTGTCGGCTTTTCCAAGTGAAATCTAATCGAGCTGAGTCGAACTATTCTCAAGCAAAATGGCTCCAAGTTCAATTACACATTACAAGCCGCATGACAGTTTCCATTGTGCAATACTCACTCTAACAAGACTATGCTAAATTGTCCAGGCATCCCTGTTCACACTGGAGTCAGTGTGCCGAGACAGGAGGGAAGGGCCCTTGACAAGAGGCCCTCTTAACTACTCTATTATGGTAACACATACCTGTGGAGAAGCAGACACCTGAGACCCAAAGCCAAGCAGCTAGAGGCAACTAACTAACGTTGCTTCCATCTGGTTGCACCCTCTTGTACTTGACTGTTGTCAAACTGTTGTGGGTCTAATGCTTTTGTGTTGATTGTGGGAGTCTGAGTCATGAGGAGATTATCCAGTGGCCCTAAAGCCTTAGGCTTTGTTCTTGTAATGAATACAAAAACACCCTTTTCTTTATGCTCTTCTTAGAAGATTGTCTATTCTTAATAAATGTATTTTGATCAACTGCAGCAGTTTACACTTTTTTGATAGCGGGCCTTAGTCTATTCGCGGGTGTAATTCACATCTCACCTATTTTACTTTCTTTCCCTCTGGTTGGCACAGAGAAGAGAAGAGAAGAGAAGCCCCTCTTCGCAGTTAGACTGCTGTGGTGGTGGGAATGCTGGAACCAACCCTGTTAAAACTCGAAAACATTCCCCTTCAAACCACCATGACTGAGGAGATTAGGTCCTCATCCGCTGGAAAACAGTCTTATTTCCTAAAGATATTTGGGGCGTTTAATTTAGAAACAATGCTGGCTGGTGCACTGAGCCCATTTATTGCATGCTTTTTTACAGCCATTCTAGAAGTTATTCAAAAAAGGTAAATTAGTGGCTCTGTAAAACGTGTTCAGATGCACACCAAATACATTGGTGTCAGGCTTAATTATTTCCCCAGATGAGCCTTTTCTTGTTTCTACACCCATTAAAATCAAGGGAACAGAATCAGAGAAACATGCATTCCTGCGTACCCAGTATAGTCTTTGTAGAAGCCATGTCATTGATGACACCCAGCTATATACATATTTCATTGGGACATGCATATTTTACAGTGTAATCCTTGGCACACCACTGCTTTGTTCACAGTATGTGGAGAGGCCTGAAGAGTGGGAGGTTTTCTTTTTGTGGGTCGTGTTATATCAGCGAGGGAAAAATAAGGAAACTCTAAATGTGTTCTGACAGTCAGAATCATTTCACTGATACTTTGAAGCCTTTGATGATCGTACAGGAGGCTGCCAGTGGGGAAAAAAGGGACACTGCGTGAACATCCTTAGATTGTTGTCCTTTTGGTCCTTATTTGTTACCAGAAGCTGAACGTTAATAAATTCTGACTAATTATCAAGGCAGTTGGATCTTTAATTTTCTATTGTTATCCATATTTTGCATTTAATTCCATCGCCTTCAAAAAGTTTGACAGCATTGGCATTACTACACAAAAACTCATGTTATTTCATTTAAAGGCACTACGTTCGGGAATGCACGGTGAAATTTAAAGGCATCCCGAAGATCGCTTACTCACAATCCAACACAAAGTTATAGGCCTCTGCAGACTATACAGGAGCTGAGCGAAGCCAAATGTGCTTGTGCAGCAAACATGATTGCATGTGGTAATTTCCTGTGCTTTCTCTGCATGGCGTTGTGGTTGAAGGAGTGATTATACTGTTCCAGAGAAATGCTAATGTATGTGTTCACAAGAGACATAACATCCAGACACAATTAAAAGCACAAACAAGTGTCAGCCAGTGTTTGTGTTAATAACCGGGTTCGGTGGAGAGGGAGTTAGAGGGAGAAAGACAGAGGGGAGAGAAAGGGAGTGTGGTCACAAGCACGTGTAGCTTGCACTCAATGGAGGAAAGAATGGCAGCACTTATAAGCGGAATCCAACTGGAAACAAGGAGGGGAGTTGTGTGGTTGCTGGGATGAATATCGACGGTTAGGCCATACACCCTCCCCCCACACCCCCAACTTAAGCGGTTCCTCCCAAGAACCCCCCCACCAACAGTACTAGGCGTCGAGTCACTGCAAAGTTCACAGGAGTAACTTCAACCGTATCACTCACAACTAATAGCTCTGTGTACTCTGGCTACTCATGCTACCAGCACTTGATCATTGTGCTGTGTTAGGTGCCTCTGGTCCTTCTCTCTTTAGATTCCGCCTCATTCATCCATACAGAGTGTGGAGACAGAATTCAGTAAAAGTTTTCCCTAACTGCTGGTCAAAAAATGCCTGCGGTCAGTGTCAGCTTGGGAGGAAACATGAGATTCTGAACAAGCTCATACGCAAATAACTCAGACTGGATAACATATATGCCTGACACAGAGATTAGGGAGACAGAAATACTTTTTTGTATCTTAAACGCAACTTACAAATAATGTGTTTGATGGCTAAATACCCATAGCAGCAAGTGTTAATTTTAAATAACAGGCATGCGTATTGTTGCAAAGTACACATGCAGATATGTGGACAGACAAAAGAGGAGTTGCACACAGGAGATTTGAGTATATATCTTCATCAGCAGCAGATTGACCAGTGTTAAGATTTGCTAATACTAATGAGACTGGGGATTCTTCCTCACTGATGTTTTCTTTATTGATCACAGGCAAGTACATCCTAGTTGGTGTAACTCCCTCAGAACCTATGAGTGATTAGTATTTATTGCTTAGTATTTACACTTGCTTAAACATGCTCTGACATACAGTCAGAAATGTGAAAAGACATATTTTAGTCTGAAAAAAGAGAAAATAAACAGACCTGAAATATATGCAAGAAATCCAGCTCTTTACCTGTGGTGTTTTTGATTTTTAGAGTCGTGTATTATCTTACAGTGACATTTTTTTCCTTTGGATTTGGGAGTGATCATGCCAGATGTTGGTTTCTGATCGCCTACGGTAAAAACATGACACAACACGAATCAAAAACAGATCCCTCTCTCTTAAAACACTATTGCTCATTCATTCAGGGGAAGATCACATATCGTGTTCGTCTGTTGCCAAAACACAAAGTGTCTCAAACTATTCCAAGATTACAGCCCTAGATAGCTCTGCTTATCCATCTGTCACCATACAAAGAGCTATCTTTTCTTGTTTAAGTCACTCAGGCTCAACGTCTAATCTGAAGCGTGTGTTTGTATATGTGTGTTTGTGTCAATCTCATACGCGGAAAAGCACTCCAAACAAGCACTTATTAAGAAAGAATGTATAAGCCAGAAAGCCGGTCAGAATCTCAACCCCCCCACTCACACATTCACAAACACACACACACACAGTTATATTCTGCTTCCTGTCTGCATTCTTTCATTCTTTGTATTTGATCTCAGAATATTAATTATTCCAAAAGACACACTGTTTTATGTCTAGCATATTTGGCTGCACAGAACCATATTTTGTGATCATATACACTCATGTGTGGTAGGTTAAATCTTTTAAATATATGAAATATATGAAAGTTTCTCCTTGATACTCACAGCATAGGTGCGCTGTTTCATAATCTCAAGAACAAGGAAGGATCTTTTCCTCACAAGGTCAGCCACTTAACTACACAGTGGCAGACATTGCTACTGAT